CAGGACTGTACCCATCGTTCGCAAAATTCCTTCGAGAACCCCAGCTGTCGCTGTCGGAGAAACTGCAGCCGCTCGCGAAACACGCCCAGCCCAGTGACCCCAGCAGAAAAAGAGAACCCTTTGCAGGGTTTTCCCCCACTGCGTGGGGGTCTTCTAACAAAACAACAAAAAGCAAAGAAGGGCAGCACTCTATGTCACTGAACAGAATCGGCGTCAGACTGAGCCAGGTTCCAGCCTCACCCGCAGCGTTTGCAGGCAGCCTCGGGCTTAAAAACTTTTACGGGAGCCCCCCAAATGGCTTCGGTGTTCCTCCTTTTTAACCTAAAACGAAAGGGGTGCCGAGCCTCAAAACAAGTCCCATATGGTTGTGGCTCAAATAAGAATCATTTTGTGCACCTTGGCAAATGGAAACAAAGACTACCCTCCCACCAGCTAACATGGAAGTGCACAGAGCCCTGTAGAAAGACTACTTTCCTCTTGGACAGGGCCTTTTTGCACTTCGTTAGTTGGTGGCTTAATTTTACACCGGCATGGACACCCCCTTTCTCCTCTGGTACAAGAGGGCCCTAAAAGAAGGCGCTAGAGCATGGGACTGCCCCATGTCCCTCGAAAGATCAGCGCCCAAAACCCGCTGACCTGTAGCACAAAGGCTATAGCTCCTCACCAAACAAAAAAACATATTCTTGGGCCCATGTGGTTGAAATCCGTTTCGCACCACCTTTGAGAAACCCTTTGACTCGATTCCCCAACGTTATCGAGAAACGTTCCGGTTTCACCCATGGCTTTCTCGCGGATTTATCGAAGAAAATAAAATCCGCGGATCGAGGAGATGCTGTTTGGGCCGACTTTCAACCCAAGAGTTCTTGGTGCTTTGGATTGGTTTGGATTTGGGTTTGATGTCCATTTCCGAAATTCCTGGTTCTTGAGCAAAATATGGGACGCCTCCCTGAAAACACCACCCAAACAACCGATGCGGCTCCTTGGGACGCCTCCCCGGAAGAAAAAGAGAAAAAGAAAAATACACACACACACACACACACACACCAAACCACCGATTCGGCACAGGCTCATTCGCCATTCGCGGGAAGCTGATCCCTAGGGTTGAAAAAAAGAATGGCAACTTGGGACCAAATTATGACACTCCTGAAAAATCATGGTGGCTCTACGCAGCCCCACGGTTTTCCATGGTCTGCACTGAACCCCAGATGTTTTTCCTCGTCCCCCAAAGCGGATTTCATCTCGGCAAAGCGGCGGATGAAGCTGTGGGGAAGGGCCCAGGTAGTAGGACTCCGGAGTCGCCAGGCCTGGCCGTTGAACTCCCACCAAAACCATCTCCAAATGGCTGTGGCAACCAAAAAACCGGAATTCCAAAATGGGTTGCCCGATCGGTAAGTGGAAACATGGACCAAAATTCCTGCGGTTTGCCCCTCCTGTTTAATTTGACCCATATCCAAATAGATCCCCAACATGTCCAATATATGGGCGGTAGATCCCCCAGCAAAAAGTGTACGAATCACTTTTTGCGTGTGAAGAGGATCTTGTTGAGGGTTATCCAAAAAGTTAAAAAAGTCTAAAGATCCAACCCAGTAGCAGTAGAGTATCATATATTGCACAACATACGGAAACCTCCATAACATGTCCCTATACTATCATATATTTTGCAAACCTACATAAATGTCCATGAAATTAAATCCCCCAAACATCCGCACCATGGCTCCTACCCACCTCCAATTCATTGCCCGGAGTTTGGGGCGCTCGGCTGGTTGTTGTCCCATGGTCAAATTCTCGCGAGGCAAGGCTCGCGGCGCTCGAATCGGACCAAGAAGCGATCTTCCACAAAGAGTTTCTGGTCTACTGGGCCCAAGCGTAAAGAATCCTCACAAGGTCGAGACGGCCACGCCTTGTGAGGCATACCAGGGCATCCTCAGCGAGTTCAGTTCCCTCCCCGGACAGCTGGAGAGACCTCAAGGAACTCGGATCGAGTTTAAGAAACCGCCTCGAGTTGCAGGCATGGTGAGGCCTGGCAGAAAAAAAACAGATTTTCTCACATCCCAGCTTCTCGGCCCAACCCACCAGAGTTTCCCTGGAAATCGAGGTCTGACCCGAGGCTTCGAGAGATGCAGGGAATGAGAAGTGGAACCACAAGCCATCCGAGTTGGTTTAGTACCCAGAGGCTCCAATTCGAGTCATTTAGGGCCCTACAGCCAGGTTTTGAGACCGGGTCCCAAACACCTATTCTCGGGATGTCCAATGCAGTCAATACTTCCATAGCCCATCTGTGTCCCAAAACCCCGGCTCGGAATGTCATTCCCAGCTGGGCAGCCGACGGCCAGGTCATCAGATCATGCCTCAAAGGATCTCGCGATTGCTCGCGTGTACCATGCGTGTACCACCCTCCAACCCATAAATCGGGAATCCGCCTCATTTTGGGGCAATCCTCCCATTTTTTTGGGAAGTCTGAGGGTCCAGGTTCCAGGGAAGCGCACAGAACCCAGGTTCGCAAGTGAAGCTTCGGCTTGAAAACACCACAAAACACCACAGCCATTGGCGTGCTGTTCGGAGAAATAGATGGCCCTGGTAGATGATTAAACCACCAGGTAAACCCGGAATCGCCATCTATGTTTCGACCGAAACAACCAAAAAGGACACCTACGACCACAGCACGGCGTGGGAAAACTTTTTTTGCTGAAGGGAGCAACACTGGAAGTCGATGGCTCTGAGACTCTGAGGTGTCTGCGTGGGGGTGTACATGCCCAGGGCAGCTTGAGCTTGTGCAGCGTGGGCCGCCTTGCGCTCGTCTTTCCGGGACGTGCAAACGATATCTCTGCGGCGGGTCTGGGGTTCAAACCACCAAATTGAAACCAGGGAGCGTTCATATCACCACCATGAATTACACAAGGATGGTCATCAATATTAGGTCAACCAGTCTTATGGGGGTCGAAGCCTAGGGAGGCTGTTGGAAATGGATTCACGACTCTGTGATACAACAAAAAGGGCCTAACCCAAGCACGAACCCCCCATGAAAGATTCCCACAAGTATCACAAAAGGGGCTAAACCCCGAGTGCTAAACCCTGATCCACCACAACCCTGATCTGCGGGCCAAATGCTGGTCTTTTCTCGATGTTTGGCCCCCCTCATCTGGAAAAAGGACGACCGGAGCCTCGTTGCTTCAAGGTAACCAAAAAAACGTTGAAACATGGACATGTCTCTGAACGAATCCCCTACCGAGGAGCAACACTCTGACTAGCATACACCGAAACCACGATGCTGCCGGGGATTTTCTTGGGGTCTCTAAACTACTATGCTGGCATGGGTTTCCACTCCCCCCCGAACGAACTTGAGGAAACATCACAGAAACAGTTGACAGCACCCCCCAACTGCTGTTTGTTTGTATTTGTTTTAATTGTATTTTTTTCTGCCCTTCAAAAGCAGAGCTTCTGTTGTGCTGGCGATGCTCTTGCGCGGTTTGGGGGGCCATGGCACGCTCAGGGTCCCATGGGTCCCGTGGGTCCCATGGGTCGGGACGCTGGCGGCGGCCGCCAGCGAGGCCATGCAAGCGACCGGAGGCTCCATCACCTGACCGAAAAGCGCGGAGGAGTCACCCGGCACCACACGCCAAAGCCAGAACATTGAGCCATCTGTGGTGGAGAATTAGATCTTTCGGTTTTGGGGCACTTACCCGGAGAACTGTTTCAGTAGCTCTGTATACCTGGAAACAATCGGACAACTGCAAGGGAGTCGGAGTCGAAGGGCTCGGTGTTGCCAAGCCGCAAAAAAAAAATCCGCAAAAATTGAACTGGAACTCCAAAAGCTGACATATGAATTAAGGATCTCCAAGGTTTAGGGCCCTCATGGCGTTCTCGGTTTTGTCCCCTCGATCCCGTCCGATCCGGTGAGCTCCTTCCCGCCTTGGCCTCTGGGCCTGGCCAAAGGCTTTCCATAGCTTTCTTGCGCGAATGTGGGTGTGGATCAAAATTAAACCAGGGGACCGGCAGTTGGGTTCCGTTGTGGGTGCATATTTTTGACCCACATGTGGGTCTCTCTTATTTTGGGAGTTGGTACCCCGTTTTCTGGTGTTAAAGGGAAACCAATTGCTCGGAACACTGTTGCGCGCTCCCCGCGAACACAGAAAATGCCGCTCGCTCGTGCGAGCGTAACGGCGTAGCATGCCAGGAGCACCAGGGGTCGCCTGGCGAAATCCACGAAATCTCGATGCCCCATAGGAGCAGAGCAAAGCGGTTCCTTGACTTGCTGGTCTCAAAGAGACCAAAGCAAGGCCCCCCAAAACTTGCGATCGGCGCGATGGGGAATGACTGACCGAGTGCGGGTGGGAATGAGCCGGATTTGGGGGATTAACGAAAGGAAACCAAATTGGGGATGGCTTTTCTTGGAGTCATTCCAACTCGTTCCCTGCTGGGAACCAGCAAATTGCAGGGATCCAGATGGCCATGCAGGAATTTTCCGCGCACTGGTGATTCTCCTCGGAACCCTGTCTGCAAATGAATCTCGCATCCGTAACTGAGAGCCCGTCACTGTGTACAGTGTATAGCTATCTGTTTGTGGGCAAAAATGGGGTAACCCCAAAATGGCTTGCTCTGGTAACTGGAATGGACTAAAACCTGCTGTGTGGCTGATGTTTTCTGACCCATACCCATCTAAATGGATGACCGACCTCCACCTCTTGCCATCCCTTTGCCCTGCCTCCAGGTCTGGTTTGGCCTGTGAGATCAAAACAATCAGCCCAAAGACAACAACCATGTTCCCATTGTAACCGAAAACTCCAAATGGCTTCATGCTTTCCGCCCCCCGTCCCCAAATGGCTTCATATGTTACTTTTCACCGGCCAGGGAGATACGGCCAATCGTCTTTCCTCGAAACAACTGGGAAACTTCGGGCTCTGCTGGTTCCTTTGCGTCGGGACTAGGCCGGGCCCAACAAATTCTGCTGAAACCTCCTAGTCGGTACTTGGAGGGCGAACTCTCCTCAAACCAACCCTAGATCAACAAATTCTCCTCCAACCAAGCCTAGACTACCAAGAAATTTAGTCTTGTCACTTGCTCGAATTCTTGTCCTCTGCGTGACTTCGTTGCACGTCTCACCGCTTTTGCTGCCCGCACCTGCTTCGGCTGCCTCAAATCATCCGGGCCGTGCGCGTGGTTACAGCGCTCGCCCTGGCGCATGTGTCTCATCTGTCGCGCAGGAATAGAGGATTCCCATGTGCTCTTCGTCCCCTAGAAGAGTAAAACACATGTCCAGCTGTGAAATTGAGTCCCTTTAAAACCAGGGGAAAACAAACAGATTCACTTCAGCCAGCGGTGCCATGAAATCTGCCCGTTGCTCGGATCCGATGATCCGATGGTTGGTCCATTAGTTCACTCCCAAATTGACCCACTAGGAACACACAACAAACGGGTGGCACGGTGTAGCAAGCCCTGGCCATGAGCTCTTCAAGATTGCGGCGGTCAAAACCAGGCCATGGCATCCCTGTAAGAAGTATCATGCCAATCATTGGGAGAGCCCTGCTGGCTTTGAAGGCTGGATTCACACAAAAACTCAGACGAGAGGGACGTGTTAGTGCAGTGGAAATGGACTGAGTATGGACTTTACCACTAAAAATCCACTGAAACATGCAAATCTGCATTGTTTTTTTTTACCATAATTCCCAAAGCTGAATCACGAGCTGGATCCCCAAGTGAAGGACCTTTATCATGGCCTTCGCTCCTTTTTTAAACCCCGATCGGCACGCTCGCTATAGGCAGAATTCATGAATTTGGGATCTGGATTCTCACTGCGCATGCCGGCCTTCAAACACCTCCCTCGCTCAAAGAAGTGGCACATCCTGGGCAAAGGGGCTGCACAGTGGGCTCACTCGACGGAGCGGTTCTTGGGCCGTTGCCACCTGCTACTTGTTTCAAACATAACCAGTTCTTCAAACATGCTCCGTTCGGCATTCCCTTTGACAAAGGTTTTGGCTTGGTTTGAGACATCTCAGAAGCTCTTTCAGCATGCAGCCGTGGCCGTGAATCAAACCTTTGGGTGTGGCTGAACATTAAGGAGCTGGGGCAAACCGCAGGTCTTTGTCTTTGGCTCCATTTACAAGGGGGCCATTTTGGTACATTGATTTGAGCCACAATTTGCCAACCCTCGGCCGCCCCCGGGCTGGCAGCTGGGTTTTGTAGATCCCATCGGTGACTCGGAGCTGCACCTGATCTGTCGCTCACGCGCGACCGACAACTAAAACCTTTCTTCCATTTGCTGATACAACCCCCGGGGAAAAATAAAAATACTTCCAGTAGTGCTAGGTTTCCCTTAAAACCAACAAGGGAAAAAATAATAATGATAATTCTTAAGCAAATGGAAGCTTTGGCCGCCTCTCCGTGCGCGAAGACGCAATTGTCGCCTGGCTGCACAACGGCGCATCTTGTCGCATCTTGCTGCCCTTGAACAAACCGCCACTCCTGCCTTTTGTGCAGCGCCCTTCTGCGAAAGCTTTGCACAGCTTCCTCGGCAAATCGGCGCGGTCCGCAACTGGGCCTTCTCATAGCTCCCAACTAACCCAACCCTCCAATCATGAAAGCTGACAAGAGTGCTCTGGACGAAAAAAAAACTCCTTTTAGTCGGAAGCCCGGGCTTCCAAATCCCCACTTAGGCTGGCCGCCGAACCCAAAGCCGACCGTCCCCGTCCAAATTGGCTCCACGAGAAAACGCGCGCGCTCCGCTGGCGCGCTCGGTCCGCCGGCTGGGCCCCCCCCGCGTCTTCTGCAGGTTCGGCGGCTTCCGGAGCTCCGAGCTGGAGTGCGCATAGCGGCAGGTGCTGCCTGAAGCGTCAGACGCGCTTGACGCTCGTGGGAGTCTAGGGTTGAGAGGCGATCGGTCTTCAGCCCCAGTCGTTTGCTGCGGAGAAAAGAAACAAAAACAAAAGCACCTCCAAGTGGGGTGAAGGGAACCCTTTTCCCCGGCCCCCGGCCCCATTTTTTTTAAGTGGTGGGTTAGGGAAACCTTAACTTAAAGTCACCTCGACGCGGGGAAAGCGTCAAGATAGGGCCAGGGGTCAAAAGCCAAATCGGTTAGCCCCCCATAAAAACATCCGATTCAATCCAACCCCTACAATAGGAAGCCTAAAATGTGGGGTGAATTAATTCACCTACCAACCAACATGGGATCCCGTTCAACGGTTTTGACAACAGCCAATTCTGTGCTAACAAGCCACCTCCGAGTGGTGGGTTCAAAGAAACCCGCCCGTGGGAAACCTTAAATCCAAGTCAGCCCGCGAAGTGGGTTAAAGTCAAGCCACCCCAGTTTCTCACTTTGAGCCTTGGCGACTCACGACATATGTTGACCCAGGTTTCTCAAGCCGAAGGAATCACCTACCCAGGTCCACGAGGAATGTTGACAGGCATGTTTCTCTGCTCAAATCAAAGGAATCGGACGGGTCCCATTGGGTTGACTCACACTTGGCGTTGATTGCTTCAGAACTTCAGGTAGCAGGACATGGTGATGGTTGACCAAGCATCCTGTCAATCAAATTGAGCAATTGGGCATTTCGTGCCAGGTTTCCCTCGAGAGGAACCCTGCTCTGGATGTTGCAGCCAATCTTGATCCACCTTCCCCCGCTTTCCATGTATCATTTCCAGAGTTCCGCTGCCAACTGATGGGCGTCCAAGAAGAACCAACGTGGGCTTTGGGACGACAAACCAAGTTCCAGCCTGTGATGTGCATGATGCTAGCCCATCCGAAAAAGGTAGATTGAAGCCTTGACTAGTCCCACAGAATCAACGCACATGCTTGTATGTGGCAGTCAAGCTGCTTGCACAAGCGAACAAGCGTGCCAGGCCTTCGCAAAAAAGAAGCCTGCGCAGTGGATCCCCACTGAGCGTCTGGCTTGCGCACTTCCCCCGCTCGAAGAAGTAGCACATCTTCCTGCAACACGGACGCTGAAGCAGCAAGACCGGGCTTCTTTCGTCCATGGCACCAGGGGCGTGCAATGTCCATTCAAAAGGGTGCGCCATAAAACAGGGTCGACCAACATGGAAAGTCCCGGAAGATATTTTCCTGTAGGTTCCACGGCAATGTGGACAGGGCAGCTGTCCCTTTACTTGCTGGTTCTCAGCAGGAAATGAGAATTGCTATGAACCATCCCCTATTTCCTTTTTTCGGGAATCCCACCTATTTCTGTTTTTCGGGAATCCCCCAATTCCCAACTCCCGGACTCGATCAGTCGTTCCCTATCGCACCGATCGCAAGCAAAGTGGGGTCACTACTCCACCTGCATCAAATGCAAGGGGTTCTGGCTCACTTACCTATCGCACCGACACGTTTCGTGTCTTTCAAAGACCTTCAAAAGGCCATCCTTCCACAACTCTAAGCTTGGATTCCATCGTAAGCAACACCAAAAAAAATGTGTTTTTGTTGTTTCACGTTCTCCACGGATTCAAAGCCGTGTTTTTTTTAATGAGAGACATGTTTTTGAAGAGCATGAGGGGACATCTCTCCCCGCAGGTGGGCCCCCGCACGTTTTCAGGAGCCGGGCGGTCACCGCGTTCTCATTGGAGGTCTTCACCTCGTGAAGATATGGTGGCTCAAAAGCCAAATCGGTTAGCCCCCCATAAAACATATCCGATTCAATCCAACCGCTAAAATAGGGACAACAAAATGGGTGGTGAATGCACCTACCAAACAAAATTGGATCCCATTGGTTTTGACAACCACAGCCATATGTCAAACCCTTAAAAACATGGTGAAGTGCTCGGGTTTTGAAATGAACAATCTCTCAAAGAAAAGATAAACATGGCACCTGACAGAGGGTCCCTCAAAGAGCAAACTGATCTTGCAGGTCCCTCCATCTCCCACAAAAATAATGCTAGTGGCAGGAAGGCTGTCCAAGGAATTGAAATCAGGGGGTAAGTGGGGGTGGGTGACAAGTCAAACCCTAGCCCAAGCTGTCGACCGAATCCGTCACCCCACCTCCGCGGGCTTCTTGACCTCGCGGGTCTTCCGGCCTGACAGCAAAGCTCCCCAGGGAAGGCGTATAAACCTGCCGAGGGATTGGAACAAGGATTGGGTCACGGCTTTGTGGGAGGAGGGAGTGGTCCTAGGTCTTCCAGTAAGTAAAGAGGTTAGAATAAGGGTACCCGATTTTTTCTGTAGTCTATTTTAGTAAAGGAACCCTCCCTCAAAAAAGAAAGGGCAGTACTGGGAGACCTAGGGTCTTTTGAAGTTTCTCCTCCTGCTACACAGTGCACTTTCCGAGCCCTCTTCAATCACTGATCGGCCGCAGCACCAAATGATGGCTCCATTGCGTTTCCGCTGACCCTGAGCAACCTCATGGCACACAAAAGTATGTGTTTTTCTCTCCCAAAACAGGGGACTCCTCCAAGGTGTTTCTCGCGAAACAACCATGCGCAAGCGGACGCGGTGTGTGTGTGTGTGTGTGCAATATCCACTTCCCTCTGGTGCCTGCCTCGAGAAGTGCTCTTGTTGGGCGTGATCTCGCCTGACGACTCAATCGACAAACCAACAAAGTCGTCAAATTTCGCAGCCTGCTCCAGCCGCCAAAAAGTGAAACCTGTAGTTCACATTTGGGTCAAAACTGGGAAGCAAGCCTAAGTCATGGCTGGCCCATGTTCAATCGAGAAACCAGCATGAAACAAAATTAATTTGGAGGGGGCCCATTTGACCAGCTCCAGAAATCTTGCTCATACCCCAAAAGTTGGACACAACTAACTTGACTTCGAAAGAAAATGCTTCCACGTCCATCCCTTCAAAGCCTGTTGCGAACCATGCCCTGATGCGGTCGAGCGTCTACTGATTCACAACAGCCGGCTGAGTTGGGGAAGGCGAATCCGTTTTGGACACGGCGCGACAACTGGCCAGTTCACCTGGCCTGGGTTCACCGGGCCATAGTCGGCCGCCACATCCATGCGCCTGGGAGTCGCACCTGGCCACGACTCCCAACTTGTCTTGGACGAAGCCTGCAAGACATTGTCCTCTAGCTTTGGACCCTTCCAAGAAATCAGCCTACAAAATTATGAAGCCGGAAGCGCAGTGGTGGACCTTATCATAAATCATGACCTCAGGGCCCATACCTTCCCAACAATCATGGAACTGGACGGTTGGGGGAGGGGGGGGGCTCTCCGAAAGGAAGATCGTCTTCCAAAAAAAGAAACCAAAAAACCTCCGATCAGCTTCCAATGATGCTTGGAGGGAGGGTACTCATTTCTTTTTGCTGGTTCTCACCAGGGAATGAGAAGTGGAATGAGCTATAGACCATCCCCCATGTCCGTTTTCGGGAATCCCCCCAAAGGGTTCATTCCCAACACCCGGACTCGTTGTCATGGAGCAGCAGCAAGACACCTGCAACCCAGTGCTTCATCAAGATTCAGCTAACCCTTGGCGATTTGGACTGGCGGTTTGGATTTGGATTTCACCCCCTGAATTCTTGAGGTTTAACTCAGTCGCCCCTTAGGGACCTGGAACTAAAAGGTGATCACCTTTTGGGGCCATGACGAAATATGGACCAACATGGGAAAACCACAAGGTCAGATCCGGTCGATTCGCTTACAACTGAGGTTTCAATGGGAAGCCTGGCTCTTGCGTGGTTTTCTGGGGGTATCTACCCCCGCGTCACACCGCTTCGGCTGAGGTAAACCAGCCTTCGGCTTCCATCAACTCAGCATGGCGGACATGGCTGCGGGGTGAGCCAAGCGAAGCGAGCTAAATGCGGGGAGCTCGGATGGGGTGCCAATGCCTCTAGGGCTACCTTCCATTTCCATTCTTTACGGGGATCCGATTCTTTTCAGGACACCATCAAAATCCATCAAACGCCCAGGGGAAACAGAAAACCGGTGGTTGAAAAGAACGATGCTTGAAAAGAATGGACAAGGAATCAACAGAAAGCCAGGCCGCGAGACTCAACCCCACACCAAGTTTTGGACCCTCGGTTGCTCCTCGAAAAGAGATTCCTTTTAAACGAGGCCGGGGTTTTTGTTGGCAAGCTCAGGAAGAAGAAGAAAAAACACGGGACCGAGTCGGAGTCGATTTGGGAAAGGGCCTTGACTCGTCGTGCCTTTGGCTGGAAAACCTGCGGATTCAGGTTGGGGATGGCACCCGCGCTTTGGGCGAGGGAAAGGACTCCAGACTGAGATGTTCGCCGATAGACTGAACGAGACACCCCCCATTTGCGGATACGTCCCCTGGAAAAACTAAAAAACATGTCCAGTAGTGACACCCAAATGGAAGCATCCCAAAAACCAGCATGTCGGCCATCTGTTTCTCTGCTTGCCGCTCTGGGCTGCACCAGTTGCATCCAGTTGCCCTGCGCTGTCTGCGCTTTTATGCTAGTCTTGCCGTCAAAATGAGGAGCCCTTCGTCCAGAACACCGGGAACAATGGGGGGGAGTTGGCGCCCAGCGGGGGTGGTTGTACCAATCAAATCGCCCCAAGCCCCAGGCAGGCGGTTGACCGAAGAATTCTGGCGGCCAAGGACTTGGGCTGGGCAAAACTTGTTCAAAGAGCTCTGGCTCATGTTTGCTTGTGAAACTTCCTTCAACCCGACCGTGACATTGCTCCGCACAGTGCATTTTCGGAACTCCTGCTGATCAAGCATGGCACGAAAAAAGGGCTTGCAAGAGTTTGCCGCCGACGAATTGGATAGGTGTCAAACCAGCTCCATTTGGGACACCTGTCCAAGCGCAAAGCAAACGATGCGGCAGAGAGCAAAGCACACCCCCTCAGGCGCAGGGCGAAATTGCTCCTGCACGGCTGAAGTCCCCTGAACAAGTGCGAGCGGCTTTATTTTGGGTGTGGGTCAAAAATAGGTACACAAAACAACCTAGTATAGGTACACAAAAATAGGGTCAAACAAGTAGCCTGGTAAATGGAAACAACGACTGGTGGCTGAAATTTTGACCCATACCCATTTCGCCTTCTTCAACCTTCACCTTTGGACACTCGCTGAAGCGGCCCGTCCGATTCGTCGCGTGCACGGCCGGTTGGAAACCCGGCCAGCGCGCCATTCGCTCGCCATTCGCTCAATGGACTTTCAGCACACAAAGGCCGTGCCCGGAGAAAAGACTGCCTGGACCGGTTGCAAAACTGAAGCAGGCTTGGAGACTCCAATGACGCAAGGGGCCAAGTAGAATCGTTGGGTACTAATCCAAAAAGGCCGAAAGGCTCGGGGAGGGAACTCCGGATGGTCCAGCCAGTCGGATAATCTTGGCAGGGTTCTCAGGGTTTGTGAGAGCTTGCCGCCGTCGACTTGGATAGGTGTCAAAATGGACCCTTCTCCAGTTGGGACACTTCTCCAATCGCCAGACACCCAAACATCGCCCAAGCGCCAGAGCAGAGCACGTAACTCCCTGAGGCATACAGCTAATGGCTGGAAATGCAGGGCGCAGCTGCTCCTGACAATGTCCTGACAATGACTTCGAAATGATGTTCTCAGACGTCTGAGGTGAAGTCGCCGAACAATTCTTGCGGCTTTGTTTGGCCTTCTTCAACCTGCTCCATTCTTCGATTGATATGTGTTTTGTGAAGTCGATCCACAGTGAGGCGTTCCACACCAACTCAGATTTGGAAAACAAGTAGATGGCCTGTCAGAAGCCTGAAACACCGAGCTCATCACAGCAAACTTCACGGTCTTTCAGCATCAGGCTTTGGAAAATGAGGGCGATTCAAGCCTGGTTGGCCTGGGAAAAGAATGCCTAGACCGGCGACAATTGCAGTGAAACTCCAAAAGCACAAAAGCAAAATCGGCAACACTTTGCGCGAAAGCCGGGCAAAATACAAGGCGGGTTTGTCCCATCTCCGTTCAGATTCATTGGAAAAACCAAATGGGCTCAGCTATCGGCGGACAGCTTGCTTTTTGCACAGGCGAAAAGCATCTGGACTTCAGACAGGCGGGCGGGCGGGCACGCCAGCCTGACAAAGAATTCAAACCAATTGAAGGCCTGCAGCCCGTGGGGCCTGTGCAAGCGCAGAAGTGCGCAGAACTTATCCTCGCAAGCAGCGAAGAGGAAGCGGTCTGCCAACGTCTCGGCTTGTTTGGAGACTCTTTACGCAGGCTTCCCTATACTTCCCCTTGCATTGTCACCCCACCAAAAGGAAACTCAGTGCCCAAGAAGTGATGCTTAAGACCACCCCTTGGGCAATGTCAGGAAGGTTGCCAGAATTCTATCCTTTAGTCCATTCGATCCATTCAGGGAAACCGTCTCAACGCGCACCCAGCGCGTCACTCATCTTTGAACCTGAACTCAAGATCAGCAACACTAGGTGCAAATTCGCCTCTGGGATGCTGCGGAAACCAACACATAGAGCTCCAATTGAAACAAGTGAAAAGCTTCATGCGTTAGGCGATGCTTTCACGCATGGAGCTCCAACAGAACCGCTCCAGCGAGATTGGCTGCAACCCAGCATCGGTGCCCTTTTTCACCACATGTCCTCTGATGGGTGGGATCGTGCCTGTTGATCTATGTGACTGGCGGGGGTCGATGGTGATGTCTCTTAGACATCCGTGACTCAGTTAAGTACAAATCGAAAGAACGCAGTCAAAGTGCCAACCAAAAGATTGTGCATGAACGCATCGAAAGGAAATGGCCCCCTCAACTTACGTTCTGTTCAAGGCGAAAGCGATCTCTTGATCGAACAGGTACTAGAGGCAGGAGTGCAACGTGAGGGTGGGGGTGGGGAAAGAATGTATCCTTTTTCGCCAAGGCGCGCAGTATGCATCATTGCAGCTGTTGGATCATGAGATGCGCAATCACTGGGAAAGTGCTCAGATTCGAATCTGAGCACAGAGCAGTCACTTGCGCTTGCTCTTGCCACTCTTTGCTCGCCCTTCTTCACCACATGTCCTCTGATGGGTGGGACCGTACCTGTTGGCAATCCATCGAAAGGGAGTGAAAGTAGGGCAACTCCCGTCGAAGGGCGACCAAAACAAACCGACGAAGTGTCGGGTCGCCTTACTGTTGGCCAAGTTGCACGAGACGGGGGCTGCTGGCACTACTAAAAATGTTTTGGCGGCAACTGAGTCGCAACTGAGGCCAGCTTCAGGCAAAAACAGATGGCGAAGATACAGGGGAACGCTTTGCTTTTTGTTTGCAGCAAGTCTAACCTCTGCTAGCCCAGCCTGACAGCCTGAGCAACATTTCTAGCTTGGAGAGATTGAACTGGCCAAGAGGCCTGGAACCAGCGAGCACTTTGAGAAGGTCACATTGCCACAAGGGACCGCTCAGAACACTTTCTCCTTGGCAAAAAAGCCCGCTTCGAAATGGAAGAACTTTCCCAGCAGCGCAAGGGCTTGTTTCCAAGAGAGGCAACTTGTTCCAAGAAGGCCCAAACGAAGCCCTGTTGCGAGTTTTTGTTGCACACAAACACACACGCTCGCGCTGGTCCGAAAGGCTGTGCTACACTTGTTAAACCTAGCGCCGTTTTCGTATGCGAAACTCTTCCAAAAGAAACCAAAAAGTCACTAGGCGCCTTCCGCGCACAATGGGGGTGGGTCTCTGACCTGGGATAGGTTGAGCCAGCGCAGACTTTAGAAGACCAGCTACAAGATACTCAAGGTGTCATTCGTGCCATCCAATCGGAGCTCTCCAAGCTGTCTATCGGGCGCACAAAGAAGATTATATCCGTTCTCGCCAACATGGTGCACCGTTGCAACTATTGGATCATGCAATGCGCAATCACTGATGAAGCGCTCAGATTCCAATCTGAGCACAGAGCAGTCACTTGCGCTGACTGTTGTTACTCTTAACGCGAATGTTAACCAAAACATGAGGAGCATCGTGCAACGCAAAGCTTGTACACACTCCGCCATTAACAAATCTACAGGAAGGGGAACGAAGTCCAATGTGCAACATGCGCAGCAAGTGGCTGTTCAGTAGTCGCATACTTATCAGTTAAACCCTGGGTAAGGCGAGGCGGGCTTGCCCTTGATACTCGAAGAGGAAAATACAAGGGTAACCAGCTTGAGAAACATGCCGACACGCACCAGCCAGAGAATCCAAATTCCGTACCGCTGGCCTGAAGGAGGACTACGCCCGTGGCTATGGTGGTCACATCTTCAGCCCAAGTTGCCACGCGTAGAGCCAAGAGGAAAATCCAGCCAGTGTCTCAACTTGCAATCGACGTGCTCTTTGGATTCATACAGAAACCCCGTCCAAGATGATCCCTTTTCTTTGTTCCCCAAAACAAGACGCACTCAATTCTGCCGTCCCAAAAGTGTCTGCAGCTTGAGGGCCAAATCTGTTGAGACTCCGGCGCATATGTCACCTGGCTGTTTCCTCGCGACGATGGTTGTGGACAATCATCTTTTGTGCGACGCTTCTTCCAACACTCCCCGCCTTTTTGGCTGTCCAAATCTGACGCCAGCCATCAAAGGGGATCACCCAAAACAAAGTGTTCAAAAACTGGGTCTGCTTTTTCCACCACACAAGGGTCCCGTTTCGTTTTAGTTTGTTCTCAGTTGTTTGTGTGGCCTCCAAACAAAAGCCGGAAGAAGCAAACAACGCGCATGGACCCTGGGGGCCAAAGTGCTGGCACCCCATCCAACTGGTGGATTGAGCTTGCGTTGCCGTCGCACAGGGACTATGCCCCTGCAAGTTGCTCTCCTAAACGTTCCGTTGGAGCGTTTGGCGCACTTGCACCGCATCTGCGGTTAGGCCGTCAAGCCTCTGGATCCTCTGCAAGAGTGGCGGACATTCATG